CGCAATGAAATGTAGACCTGACCCCGCCTACGCGACCACCGCGGACATTACCTAGGGAAGAGCGTTGTTGTCCCTCTGAATAATGTCCCTTAAAATTGGACCGAGATAGACTAGATTACTTGAAAATCACAGTTTATCCTTTGCCCTCCAGAAGAGGAGGCGCATGGGGTAGAGACCCTGCATCGCTCTTGCACAAGCCGCAGGCTCAAATCTCAGCCAAACCTACCGACCCCTCTTTAGCTGGGGACCTTATCAGTGGCAGCCTTTGCTCGATTTACAACACCTTTGCTCGAGAGCATGCTCTACGCTGCTCGCTTGCGCAGAGCCCCGCCATCCGTGCTCTAGAAAGGATGGGAAGCGCAATCGTGGGCCCGGCTCCACCCATACGGCCAGCGTGGAACGTGCAAGGTAGCCGCTTCAAGTCGTTGCACGGGTCTGACATGCACTTAGTGTGGCTCCAGTTCCAAATGAATGCAAAGACATGGTGGAAGACAGTAGAACTAAACAATGTTGGACCACTAATTTCATCCCTTTCTGATATCCCTTCTTTGGAAAACCTTCTCATGACAGTAACGTGCTAAAAAAACTTACCGCTTGATAGTTAGCTTTTCCTTGAGCGATGAGGTTAAGTTGAGTTTCAACTTCCGCCCTCATTGTTGGCAGAACAAGTTCTCTGTCCACTCGCCAATAGCCATGAACAAGAGATATTCCTAGCTGCGTTGGCACCAATCGTCGACCGCTCTCTACCTGCAGTAGGTTATTAAACTTACAAGTCAAATAAATATTTTAGCGTCAAACATCTCCCGTCCAGATTGGAAACGTTGTGCCCTGAGTTATTCGAAGGGAGACTACTTCAATTTTGAAGATGTATCCCGGATGGGTAATGTAATAGTCCGCGATAACTGGATGGGCGGGAATTCATCACCGCTGGGGCGTCCTACTGGCGCGACCCTTTTGCTGATCGTACTAAAAAGAGCAGTCACTGATAAGAACATAGGCGGAGATCCATGCCAATGTGCCTTCTTCCTGGAGACCGCTTTTTCAAAAGGACGGTGAAACACCAACGTAGGCGTCAACGAAGGGGCGCGCCCGGAGTGAAGGCGATGATGATTAGCGATGACCGCCCATCCAATTATCATGGATTATCATATAAAACACAGTCAGACATTTAACGCGGCAACGAGAGAAACACCTACAGTAAGTAAAAAAAACTATAGTTCCTTTGGCTGATAGTATTGATGTGAACTGGAATGGATGCATCGGTGCCAATACCGTGTTTTTCCATCAACGTGAATCATTCCGATTCGGTGAGGTAGCCAGGCGGGGATGTCTCCGTCTCGCCCAGCATAAGACCTGATTCCCTAAATAATGAGAGGTTGCGAAGCAAGAAGACAACCCATGGGTTAGAGACTAATCTCCAGAAATAATGTTATCCTGTGGGCACAGGTGCTGCAGAAAGCACTGTGCTGCCACCAAGCAAAGTGAGAGCCTACTTACCTGAGCGTAAGTTGATCTCCACGACTTAATACCGGTACCTTCTGATCGTCATCAACGTTCAGCCAGGTCATCACTTCAGTGAAACCCGGATCTTTAACGGTTTTCTCTGTCAGTTGGAAGATTTCTCATCGGCGCACTAGATTGTGTAAATTTATTGTAATACTGTGAGTGAAAGAGTGGCGCGCAAAACTTCCCAGTGAAGGGATTGCTCCACTGCTATAATGGCGCTAAGGTGGTGGGGAGGAGGGAGGGGCATCGCGAGAAGATCACGGTGCTCTGCACCTCGGGAGAGGCCAATTTGCACTTTTGCATCAGCATCTAATAGCCCTTGGGAAACAATGCGATTGTAAGCAAAGGTAGAGAGTGTCATTGAGACCGAAGGCTATCCATAGCGCTAACAAAAGTTGCATAATGACCGCTCCTGCGATGCACGAAGCGCCTGGATTACGCTCATTTTCTACTAGGCTGGCTTCTCTTCGGCGCCAGTGAAAATCTCCCAACACCGTCGAGTTGAGAGGATGTACATGACGAATAGGCAGTCCATGGTCTCGTCACGCGGACTTTCACCGTTAGTCGCATCGGAGGGCTTGGCCAGAAAAGCGGCTAGAGGCGAGTAAAGGGTTCGGTGATAAAGCGGTTGCGCAGAACTATGACCGTGACACAGGGTCATCAGGTCCAAATTGCGGCGACTTAGAAACCGGCTTGATACTCGCAACATTTCCTAGCTATCGAATCGGCTCACTGTAGCCAGCGGGCCCACTAAGCAGGAACCTGGCGAAATGCCTGCCAGCCGACTCTCCACTTGGCACGCATACTACTAAATCTTTGAAACCTCGAATACCGGACCAAAAAAATCTAGCAGCTGTACGCATTTCAAATATCTATAACTGGAGTTACGAGCGCGGCCGTATTCTAAGATCATGTCATTTACAGCTGTATCATTGTGAAGAGTGGTGTAGGGAAGTGGCGCGCTCACCATTTTCTTGCGCGTCCAGGGTTCAATGCCCGGCGTCGACTTCCCTCCCGAGGTCTGCGCCTAGGCGCAACCAAGCCTTTTCCACCTCCGGAACGGGTAAATTGGTCCCAGATTCGCTCTGGGAGGACACAGGAAACCGTCTACACCTGACTTGTACATGGGCTCGTCCCCCCCCCAATCATTGTAGTAGGCCGCGTCGCATTCATAAAACTGGCTGACGGCAGTTCTGATGGAAGTAGAATGCGCAAAAACTTTATCCCTTATTCTTTATTTGTGAAGAAATGAATAAGAACCCACGTTACGGTAGTGACATCATAAATGCATGGCCCCATCAGAGTCGCTACAAAATGTTGCACAACATAATCGTAGATTCGCGCCATATCTGGAAACATGCCAGCTATTAGTTTAGTTATTTTGAGGTTTTCTGAAAGAGCCTTTGCTATTTTTTGATCTCTATTTTTCTTTTATCCTATTTTTGATCTCGATTCAGCGGAATAAATGAGTAAATAAACTGAACTTACCCCCTGAAAGCTGTCCATTGTTTGGTTTCATCGGAGTGATTGGTGGGTGATCACCTTTGTCCTCTCCACTCTTTGGTTTCCGGATACCATCATTTAACACCTGAATCGAGCGGATTATTGCAGCTATAATTTTTGCTACTGTAGATAGAAAGCTCACCTTCCTCACCACATCTCCCCATTTAGGATTATTGGATTGTTGCTTCAGAGTTCCTACTAAATCGAAATTGGGAGGATAAGCGGTGGTTTCGGTTCTTGGATAGGAAATAAATCCTTGGGTGTACAGTTGTTCAGCAACACTCATTGTCGACGCGGGGCTAATGCCTAAAATGTTTCCCTGAACGACTGTTAATGGCGGGCGGTTCTTGCCAGCGTCATTAGTGGAACGGCTGCATGAAGGCGTTTGGCCACACCCCACTCAGCTGGTGAAAGCCGTTGGCCATACACCACTCAGTCCATCCACCAATGACGCTGGCGATAACTGCCCGCCTCCAGCCATCGCACCCGCTGTCTCCAAAGGCACAATGCACGTTATCCGCAAACCTGCAGGACATCCGACTACTGTGCTGATGTGCGTTCTTCATTAGGAGCCTTTGAAAGAAGGCGCTAAGTAAGCAAGGCTCAGAGTTTAGGAGCCTCAGTCCATCTCCGTTGGAGCAACGCCGCAATACGGCTTGGTGGCAATCAGCGAGGCTTACAAGTTAGCTCGTGAGACCAGTGAATTCCTTACACCAAGGTGGCCTAATTGCGCCGTTTCGCAGCTCCCAAAAGTTTAAACCAGCTAGTGGAAAGGTACGAGATGGAGACTGAGGAACTGCCCCTTTTAAGCCTAACAGCGCCGGACGTATTAAATCACAAGGAAATCGACAAGCCAGAAATCCGATCGTACCGAATGAACTGCTCGCCACTCGCATCAGCTCGACGGTGTTCAAAGCCTGTGGTTTCTCTCTCCGGGATTCTTTTGTCGTTCTGTCAGTCACCAATCCCTTTCCGGCAATTCTGAATAAAATAACTTTTTACAGTGAATGTGAATTTTTCAAAAAAGAAATCAAAATTGGTTCAGTGTTGCTGGTGAGAAGATGCTATCGATAACCGGAAAAATGCTTGTGGCCCGTTCGGCAAGTATACCTCCGTAGAAAGCGTCACTCACTTGCCCCCCCCCCACCACAACGCAAATGTAATGCGGTGGAAAAGGGTTAGATGGTCCATGCCGGGGCGAAGCGCTGAGACTGGCTAACATTCCTATAGTTGACAGGATATGGTGCAACACTTTCGGGTTAAAGGCACGTCCGCGATCAGGTATCGAAGTTGAAAATATGGCGTCAGGAGGTTAGAGTGGTCCGCGACGAACAACCTTGTACCGGTTTCGCGGCAAAAAATTCTATGGGAGGGGCGCTGTAGCGCAATATAGGTTCAGTGGCTCCTCCTTTTTCCAGTGACTCCGCCTCCAGACTCCGCCCCTAATGACCGACTTCCAGTGAAAAATGAGATTGCAGGACGAAAAAGCATGATAATCGCCACTTGTACGATCGTAGAAATCTTATCGGTGAATCAGCCGTGCATATGAGGGCGTAGTTTTGGAGATAGAGTTGATTGGGCACGTACAAACTGGGATCGAAATGGGGTTCTATCTAGGGCAGGTGGCATGTTTTTTGTGCCTCATATGCACGGCTGATTCACCGATAAGATTTCTACGATCGTACAAGTGGCGATTATCATGCTTTTTCGTCCTGCAATCTCATTTTCACTGGAAGTCGGTCATTAGGGGCGGAGTCTGGAGGCGGAGTCACTGGAAAAAGGAGCCACTGAACCTATATTTTTTTGTTCACAGTCGAGTTACTCAACCCCTTGTCGTCTATATGGAACCCCTAATCCACCATCTGAGATGGCGAGTAATCGCGGGTTCTTCCTTTAAGCCAACCACCTTGGTTCGAATGTCGCGCTACCGTAATGCGGATCTCCTGTCCCGCACTATAGTGAGATCCGAAGCGTAGGTGCCGAGAGCGTTTTGTATGGCAGCGCTTTTCGATCAGACTAATCTGACACCAATTAGACAATCCAGGTTAGTTGAGATTTTTGGATGGCCAGAATTTCAGCCGGGAATCGAAAAGACCTCGCGTACCTTGACGCGATCCAGAAAAAGCTGACACACATCTCTGTCGAACAGACGACCACGCTTCCACTCTGGTCGAATGGTCGTTCCATCAGCAGTATCGAACTTGCATTGCAATATCCAGAAGGATTCTGGCTGAAAATAAATTGGAAGCTAAACAAGTGTATGAAACAATTAAGATTCCGAAAGTAACCACTACAATAAGAAACTTCACAAGTTGCAAAATTGCTTATTAGCGCCCAAAGGCACACTCCAAGGTGACTATATGGGCGGAGAAATTCAACACTAGAGCTTTCTGACTTGTTGCACTTCTTGTACTTAGAGTAAAACCAATATCATTGGGCAAAACACTTCAGATCATTTACGGGTAACTTCTATTATTTCTGGAAGCCTCTTATGCTTTACAGTTAACTGCATAACGCGAAGACACACATGAATTGCGCCTACCCTG